CCCCCGGCCCCGGAAGGTTCTTCCATCTAGACGTTATTTTCAACGTTCTCTAACGGCTTCTCCAACTGCAAATCCAACCCTCTCTCTCCAGCTTTCTCGCCAGCAAGCCTCACATGTCATCACAGCAAAAACCTACGCAGAGTCGCCTTGCCGTATCAGGTAGTGGTCGCGGAAGATCCCCCAACTTCCCAAGATCGCACAAGCAACAAGCAAGGAGGGGAAAAAATGACAGGTGCCAAGGCAAACAACGCATGGCTATCCGAGACGTGACTGCCAGATTCGTTCGAAAAGAGTAAACAACGGGCAACGGGGAGCTGTTGCCGGGCGGGTCCTCCGCGGTGAAGGCCCGGGGTAGGCGAGGTACATAGAGAGTCAGCATGACGTCGCAACTTCGCGAAACTCTTGACCGAAGCGGAAGCGATCCAAAAACCGTCCACCGGACAAGAGGGTCATTTTGATCACCGTTCGTGCATCAGCGTTGCCGGTCAAATTGTTCGTGTCGTCTTTTCATCCTCCTCCTCCGACGACCCCCGACCCCCGACCCCCGACCCCCGACCCCCGCTTTTCCATCAGCCCCGGACCGGCCCCATTCCTTTTTACTAGCACAGCCGTTTTTACGGGCAGACGGGCTCGGCGGGATAGCCCTTGGGCTGACTGGAGTGTGTGTTGTGTTGTCTTGGCATCGACGAACATCACCACCTCCGCACCGGGTCCGCACCTCCGCATTTCCGCTGAGCTCCGCAAAACTTAAACCGCCAACCGCGGGACCCCGATTCAAATCGTACTATCGACTTCAGAAAACGGCCGCGACGGGCACTAACAAGATGCGCGCAATGCTTTGCATCAGGCTCTGCTTGAACTCCAGATTTCCACTTCTCCGTCCGGCGTGGTCCAGTGCGGGAGACGATGAATCGCGGGTATGCGATGCTGCCCAGAGATGGAGTCCAAAACGGCAACAATAAAACTTTTGAAACAAGGACAACATAGCTGCAAGACTACCGTAGCTACAGTAGTACGGGGTAAACTAGCGTGGTAGCAAAGTTTGAGGTTTCAAGTTTCGCTAATAACCTCATTTTTCTTTCGGCTCAGCAGGTGAGAAAAAAAGCTTTTCGTTGCGGCGCGCCAATGCCAACGTCAACGACATCCTGCTAAGATTAGAGGCGGGCGAGATGCGATGGTACGGTGAGGGTGCATTGGGGGTTCAGTTTGTTGGGGAAAAACAGCTGTCATTCGCACACAGCCGAGCGAGCGTCAGCGGCGGCCCAGCTTGATGCCTCACTCACATTTCTATGTTGTACCGGTAGGGCCAGCTCACAGCGAAAGATACTAATGTTTGAAACGGTACAAAAAGTGTCATTGACGGATATCGTGAGAAGAGGTGTGAAGCGCACACACCGCAACACACCGCGCGCTCTGTAAAACAACCTCTGAATAAAACGGGGTTTGCGCTGGTCGTGCATCTGGTGGTAACTAACCGCAGAGACAGGAGCCCAAACCATCCAGCCATCTCGCGATGTATCCCCCAGGGCGCGCGATGCGCGCGGTGATGCATCATGTTCTGAAACGGCGAGTGTACGTATTTTGTTGAGATGGAACCCCGATCTGACTTCTATCGTGTTTTTTTTTTTTTTTTTTTTTTTTTTGCGGTTTTGAATGCTAGGCCGGTACCATAGGAGGTGAGGCGGTCACGATGGCTTCACTCGTATTATCCACACCGGAGGCCAACCAACCGACCAACAAGCCCCCAACAAACGCAACAACGTTAACAACGAAGAAGAACCGTTTTCTCTCCGTCCGTTAACATACGAGCACGAAAGAAGCACCGCACTATTTGCCGCGTATAGTAGCCGCGCGACAGGTCTCTTTGTCGATGTGCTAGGTGAGCAACGGGAAGGGTTTTTGTTGGAGTAAGGAAAAGGAAAAAGGGCATCCGTACCCGAAACTACTTTCCTTCTCTTTCTCTGTACTAACTTCTCAATATCAGATTGAGATCCCAGATCTAGCCAACCGGAAGCGACGCGACAGAGAGCCTGGAGAGCCTGGAGTGCTGGGAGAAGCAAGGGCAAGTTCCCAAATTGGGAATGACACGACCCCGAAACAAGCAAGATATGCAATAAGCCTTTTCTTGTTTGTGTGATACTGGACAGATTGTCACGTATGGGGGTCATCTTTTGCTTGCTTGCTTCTCTTTCTGACAAGTTGACACCTGTACCTGGATATTTTTGCTTTTGCTTGCTTTTTTATCCCACCAAGTCAGAAAATCATGGGGTTGCTAGCAATCCAAAACTTAACTGAACACCGCCGCAGGTTGGTCCGTATAAACGTACACAACCGCAACGGTAGACGCCCTGAAATTCGTGGAAACAAGCTTGAAAATAGAAACGGTGTGTGTGGAAGTGTGCATATGGTGTGGGCGGAATGTTGCTTTTCTGGCCGCCCACACGCTTTCCCCTACATACGCATTGCTCATTTCAGGCGGTGAGGGTGCGTTTCGTTATTTTATGGGACTGGATGCTACGCTTCGTCAAAAGCAACCTCAGTGATGTCTCCCACCTACCGTTCCGCTGGAGTCGCGCGAGACGCGAGACACACGAATGAAAACGGAGGTATTTAAGTGGGTTCATAGGAAGAACGGTTCTTGCAACGGACAGTCAGTATTTAGGCCGGGGTCATGACTCGGGACACAAGACCCGGGGAAGGGATTCTGGGGTGCTTCGACCACCCATGCCGGCAAAAAGGAACGGTGATTTTATGGGATGAACAGGGAGGCCTGGACGCGGAACCTTGACCGTCTTGACCTTTTTTTTTTTTTTCACCACCCTGGAGTCCGGAATGGGAGCCATGATGCCGCGGGCCCTTGTTCCCATTGATGCCAGATGGAGTCTTTTGCTCTGCCCGTCTTTCTTGTTCCCCGTCTCGTCTCCGTTCGTGCCCGTTACATATGGCAGCAGCCAGCGCTGGTCGGTTCTTCGGGGAGCGAACGGTTCACCGACTGGTACGCAAACGGTACATTCCGTTCTACAACACCCTACACTCTATTTATCCTGTTATCCCTTCATTCCCAAGGGCCTGGGCGCGCGACAGCGACTGACAGGGCTTCGCCATGACCCATGAGGAACAGCATCTCTTGATGAGATTAAAGAAGGCGGAGAGAGGAGGGAGATCTAGGGCGCGCCAGGGCTGCGGAATCGTAGGGAACGTTCGGAGGTGTCTCCTGTCATGTTCGTTATGCGCATCGCGAATGAGTGAATGAATGGCCGTGGATCACCGAAAGCCCTGAGTGACTCCGTAATCTAGGTGGTGTCTCTTGTGCTCAGCCACCATGGGGCGTGCCTCTTGACTCGCTCGCTGCCATCATTGTTCCAGGGCTATCCAGAGCCTTCAGTTGGCTGAGCAGCGATGGTGTGTCGCCCAAATTCCATTGCCCACCGACGGTGACTGGCAATGACTGCAATGTGCCACCGGTATCACCATGGCCGACGGTGTAGCAGCTGTAGCTACTCGGGACACTGTAAGCTGAATATCTATAGTACTGGCCGGCCACACCAAACTAACCATGGTGAAACGGACGTATCGGGATGCGTTGTTGCGTCGGGGAGGGCTCGAGGGCAAAGGCGGTCAGGAACGCTGGCAGAGGACACCGCAAGTTGTAGCGACTCGGCGACGAGAGCAGCGTGCGTGAAGCGTCAGAGCGTGCATGGTGTCCGTCTCGGTTTGTCTGGATTGTCCATGCGCGTGGGGGAAGGAGGGAAGACAAACTTGAGCATGGAACGGAACCGGTCCGGGCGTTCACTAACAACGATTTACACGACTAACACGGTCGGGTGCCAATCCGGGGCATGGAATTCGAGAAACGGCAGCCCGTCACATTCACATTTACAACACTCAAAATGATTAACGCCCAGGCCAGTGATGGACCGATCAGTTGTCACTTTGTTCGGTCCCGTCACTGTCGTTTGTCTCATCTTGTTGTTTGGCGCCATAGCAGCCCATAGCGCCCAGACTCATCCCGTCGTTTTCTTTGGCCGTCGGGCATGGCTGTCTACCCCAGGCCTGGGCCTTTGATAGCGAGCGGTTTGTTGATAACAGCCCGAGATAGGCCGGTGCTTGTTGATGCCCCAGTGATGCCCCGCGGCGTTCCAGCCAAAGAGGGCAGCTGGTCGAGAGATTGTACACAGCCGGTACAGCCCAGCACATCTACCTAGCACTTTCACTTTGGTGCCCAGGCAAACCGCTGGTACACTATCGCAATGAACCCAAAGGCGGAGGCGGAGGCACCAAAGGGCACGCACGGCGGGATGCCAATATGACTCTTTTCTTTTGGCATCCCACGGAAAGGTACCCGGTCTAGGCAAATCCTTTCTGACTGGTGTGTTTGGTAATCCAAAATGTATTGTCTACTTCCGTTAAGTGATTTCCCGCAATTCCGCGCGCCCTGTCTTTTCTCCTGTCGCGGTTACAGGTCCCGTTTCCGTTATTGCGGCCTGGGTGTGGGCTGCCGGGATACATAAGAGGTACGTACCTGTGGGGTGTGGACTTTTGACCTTTTTGACGGGGGCATGGGTGCCGTTGTCGTTGTTGTTCCGCTTGTTGGGCACACCCGACCCCCTGTCGCTCTCCGTTTTCCTGTGTCCGGCCAGGGAGAGAGAAAAAGCCAGGAAACGAGAGACATGGGCACGAAATTCACCTGCCCCACGGTACTCCATCGTACCCATGGTATCCACGGCATCCTGTTTCCTGGGACGTACCCTTGACACATCTCTGGCCGCCCCTGCCCTTGTTCCCCAGCTTCCTGCTTTTGCGTCCCAAGTCCACGATAGATATAAGAAACTCACATCCCCATCTCATGGCTACCTTCAGCCCAACTTGTATCGACAACAATCCGATATCGACATCATCAACACATCTCATCATCATCGACTGATCAGCAACAAGCATCCACTTGGACAATACTACTACTACTCACAACAACAACAAATCATACACACACAACAGCAACCATGTACTCTTCATACGGTTCTTACAGCTCTTCGGCTTCTTCCAGCCGATCATCTTCCTACGGCAGCTCTTACTCCAGCATCTCGAGGCCGATGGATATCTCTCCGATCAACATCTCTTCTTCCGGAGCCGACGCTTCCTGCGCTTTCCCATCGTGGCCCCGCCGCACCTCGCTCTGCGAATCCGAGTCTGACTACGAGCGCCCGACTTCCTTCCTTTCCGATGAGGACTTGATGGGCGATGTTTTCGACGACGATATTCGCAGCGTTTCCAGCACCGGCAGCTCGCCCATGCACTCTCCTCCCAAGGCGCCTTTCATAACTGAGGCCGAGATCCTCGAGATGCAGCGCGAGCAGGCCGCTTACCAGCGCGAGATGGTCAGCCTCCTCGTTAGGGAGAAGGAGAGGCGCAAGGCCCAGGCCAAGCGTCAACGCAGCGCCGGCAAGGCTTCTTCCAAGAAGAGCACCAAGAGCAAGCTCAGCGCCATGACTCCCATCGCCGAGTCCGAGTAAACGGTATAGCACATGCACGATGCAGCCTGTGCCGTTGGCGATTGCAACCTCGTTTTTATCGAGTAAGCTTACACTGATTGCATACCAAACTCATTCATCGGTGCTAACTATCACTTGTATAGTACCCTATTTTTGGCTTTTTTCGTCCGCTTCTATTTCTTTCTTCTTGCAACGCATCAGCATCAGCATCATCGGCATTTTCACCAACTCCATCATCATCATCATCAACCCCCACGGGAAAAAAAGACCTTCCCCTACACAAGGGTTCGTGTGTGTAACGGGCAAGTTCCCTGCTTTGCATCCTCGGATGCGGATGCGCGGATCATGCACCGGCTTGTGCCTCGGCCTCGGCAAAACCGCTAGAGTGCCCTGTGCGCGCGGCTATATGGATCATCACTTGAATCGATCACCATTCTCAAAGCAATCCCATCCCATCCCATCCACTGGACCGACCACGCGACGTCACTTGCCTGGCTCCGGGTGCCGTTCCATTTTCCCATCTGAAAATGCCGCGGCAAATCTCCAACTCCGGACCGGCTCATGGGACCGGGGAACCTTGGGTGGAGACACACCCCCTCACACTCACATTCACCCCCCCTTCGGGTGCGAGAAGACGGGATTTCGCATGGCAAGTTCCGGCGGCCCGTGTGTGGCTGCCCTGCTTTCTTGGTCTCTTCACACCTTCAGGGTCTTTTCACCGTGACCAACAAAGTGTGACGGTCAATGGGAAAGGGCGAACAGTCGCCCGCGCATCGAGTCACACATGACTGGGGGTGCAACAAACACACTGCAATACCCCGCAACTCAACAATCAAGGCCTTTCAATCATTCATCCCGACCAACCACAACCCAGTCGCAGCCCGCCAAAAAGACCTGGCCTACTGCCTCCAAAGGACACAAACACAAAAGCATTCGCACATAGGAAAGTTGCAGCTGGACTCGCCAAGGGATGGTCGAAGATGATTTGATCGATGCATCGATCTCATTTCCCGTTCCTGGTCCAGGTCCTTTCTCCTGTGCAACGCCACAATGTCTGCTGCCACGTTTTACAGCACGCCGCGCCCTGCCGCGCTGGCTGCTTCAAACAAAGAAGAGGAACGGGCAGGTCTAGTCGGGTCGGACTGAGTCTGTGATACTCGGCCCCGACATCTTTTCCTATCTTTCATCAAACATCCAGCCCCTAGCGGGTTTCACTTCGCTTCTTCATTGTCTTGTGTTTCTTAGCTTTACTCTTAATTACTTTGACACGACATTTGCATGAAGAGACACACACACACACACACACATACACAGGACGCATCGGGTCGGGCAACAAAAAGTTACTTTTGCTTTTATTTTTTCATGGGAGGATATACCACACATTCGGGAAAGACAAACAACCAAGATCGTCAACGATCACATGGATTGCTTTTTGGGCATTAGCATTTTTCTCGGAGTTTCCTCTCTGCTTTCCTTTGTTTTTTTTTTAGCGATACTTGATACCCCTATTTGTTTTTGTTTTTCCTCAAGCATTTTCAGGCAGTTGTTTTTTCTCATGATATTTGATACCCCATTGGAATTTGGAAAGGCATAAATTGCCTTGAGGACTTGGTTTAGTGAGCATTCGAAGTCAGGACCACATCAGTGGTTACTTCTATAATTGAAACTTCCATCATCATCATACTCATATCATCTTCTCCATTGCTTGCTTGTGACATTTTGCCTACTCTTGACTCCCGCTTTCGACTTGTCCTTCAGTGTTGTTTACCGCGAGATCTCATTGCACAATACGCGAAGCCCAGGACACCATTCTTTTTCATCAAGACAGCGCACTGGTATCAAACTTGGTTTTTCACTCGGGTCATACGTCTCGGACTCCATCCATCGGTATTTCTTCCGAGGCGTGAGATGTTCAAAAGTTTGCCGGATCGTTAACATTCATGTGACGGATCTCCCAACTGAATCTTCACCGTACCAAGGAGATCTTGCCGATGGCTATCACCGTCGCATTTGCACAGGTCATATTGGAGTTCGACAATCACGTCCGTCCTCCTCTACGCTGCCTACCCACAAGCTTGGATGTCGGCCTTCACCAGCAAAATATTTTCCTTTGTCGGGAGTTCAGTCTCCACAACCTCCATAAAAGCAGTAACAGTAAGCATATCCTTCTTCAGTTTCAATCTTAATCTGCCCAGGGCTCACAACATGTGGAAAGTGAAGAATCTTGACATCATCATCATCATCATCATCATCAACAAACCATCACCATCACCATCACCGTAGCAGTAGTATCCCGACAACCCCAGTTACCAAGCACTCGGTCTAGTCTACACTGTACTTGCTTGCCTACCTCGAGTACACTAGCAGTAAGGTATACTCCCACAAATCACCGAACTTAGGTCGCCGACCGCCTTTTTTTTTTTTCCCGCCCCGCCCATTTACATCATTTTGTATTGAAGAATCTGCGACAGCGGGCATCGTACTAAGGGCAAGGGGCTCAAACAACTATTTACAAGTATCGTTAGATGGTGATCGACAACCTTTTACCTCTAGCGAAAAATTTAAACGAGCGGAAAAGGCCCGCGCTCGGCCTGGCTGCCAGACCAGACCCTGTCTAGCGCGCCTTGTCGTTCGGCAGTGACAGTGATGAACCCCAGATCAGCAGCAGCCATCGGCAAATGTGGGCAACCACAAGCCCATGAAGTGGATAGATAAATAACGGGCGCAATGTGGGTGTGGGCAACAACGTGGACGGGAGGGCAGGGAGTTGGGGGGTTCACGATGCTCAAGGTCCATGTTGGATGGATGAGGGCATTTTGAAGATCTTAAGATTGTGTTTGGAATGGTTGCAGGTGGTGAGGGTCGTGAACCCGATGATGTCGTTGTGACTTCCATGTGAAGATCTGCTTCCTCGACCCCTTTCACTTGGATTGGATTGCAGATGCGCAACTGAACTGCGCCTCCTTCAACTCAGACGTCTAGGTACGCTCCTTCTCCTCTTGACATTGCGTCTCCCTTCACCCAGGGACCAGACACTTGCCCATGTAGATGCACATCAACACCTTCACCTTCACTACTCAGAAATTCCTGCGCTGCTCGCAAGATAGCCCACCAGCCCACGGGGATAACAAACTCTTCTCCCCAGCCACACTACACTACAAATGTCTCTCGGCGATGGCGATGACAGTGGGGGTGTCTATCTGCCTTACCTTCTTACCCAGGTTTAGGCTATATTAGCATACCCTGCCTCCACCTACCTTGTATCTATCGAAATGGGAACCGGAAAGGTAAAGCCATGAGCCGGAAAGGGGAGCCACGACAAACGACAAACGACATGGAGACGCGGGGACAACTGGAACGGAGAGACCAAAATGGTCGCCGAACAACACAAGTTCCAGCCCCCCCGCCCGCCCTATCCGGGGATCTCGAGCGAGAAGTAGCGAGAAGTTTTGCGAGAGTAGTTCTGCGAGGTTTGAGCGAGACGAGGAACGGATTCTCGCGAGCTCGCCTATCTTGGATCTACACTAGCTAGTGTAGCACATGGCTCTGGCGGCAAGTCCACTCAGTCCTAGAGCCTGGCTCCAGATTTCGAAGCAAGACTGGAGTCTAGAACCTCTTCAGGCACTCCGCGCACTTGTAAGGACAGTAGTGTACACTACGCTATTTCTTTCAAGACATTGGGGCATTGGTAGTTGATGCCTGGCGTGCGTGACTCGTTATACGGCTACAGTGATTGATCCGGACCACTCGATTATAGACTAGACTCGCTATACAAGAGAGAGAGAGAGAGATCTTCAGGGACCATCCGGACCCTGAGCCATGCTTCTCCTTTTCATTGGCTTGGTCAGCTTGGTTCGGATCTGATCTAACAGATTTCGTGATGTCTAACAAACGCTAAGAACGCACTTAAGGATTGACTCCATGTCCTTGACCTCCGTTTTGGTTTCTTCATGGTATTCACTGTAGTGCTAGTGAAGTAACAATATCGGAAAACGGTCGCTATTCACATCGTCGCCACACCTTGGAGGATTCCCAAGTATTGAAGGAAAACAAACCGAGTGGACCCGATATCGGGCTGGTGTGCGCGGTTCCAACCCCCCATCGTGATGTGATGTGGTGTGGGTTGTGATATAGGCTACTGGCCGCACAAGCGCCCGCGTTAGTGATAAGTCACTTGACCTTTGAGAGTTCCGAGAAATCCTACGTAGATAGTCACCTGAAAAGGTTTGTTTAAGAACTACAACGTAGACAAAGGGTGGTGAAATAAAGGTTGAGAATGACAACCTTCGCCGTTCAATGTGCTGATAAGATCATGAGAAGTCGGGTCTAGGTCATTGGAGTCGATACGGTACCTCTGTCCATGAAGGCCAATAACCAGCCGGTTCTATAGGCTCTTTCTCTAGTTAATCAATGAGAGTCGGCGTTTGTACAACATACCCGTACCGAAGTGTAGCGTACTGAGTCATGGAAGCAATTGTAGGACTTCTCTTCGGAGACTCTGGCCCGAGAGCGTCAAGACCTGTATATCAGGTAGACAACCGAGACCCTATCGACGATCTACTACGCGAGTGTCATGGCCTACCTAGACCAGTCCAGATCAATATCTCTGACTCGACGTACAGCAAAATGAGACTGGTCTTACTCCATCTCTGTCACCGCAACCTTAGCCGACCAAAAACGTGCGATTGAGACCAAAAGCAAGGATCTAGCTTCCTTGTCCGAGTAACGAAGCTATAATGACCCTCTACTCAGACATTTCTCAGTTTGTACTATAATAATAAGATGTCAGACACCGAGTGACAGGAACAAAAACACAAGGCGAATGGGAAATCGGAAGCGGTGAAGACGCCGATTGGGTTCTAACTTGACCGCCTGGTGTCGGCAGCCAACCAACATGACCAAAGAATGAGGTTTGGAGCGTCTATAGCGCTTGTCTCATGTTGCCCTGACGAAAGGTTTAGTCTCAAGTCCACCCAACATGTGCATCCGTATCCGTAGCGATAAGAGTGTACGGGATACAC